GGTCGAGGGAGGAGAAGGTCGGCGAAGATCCGGCCTTTCCGTCCACCGTGGTGCAACTCGAATGGAGTCACGCCGATCGCCGGATGCACCGAAGTGTTGTAGGCGAACTCGATGTCGGGGAGGCGGTCAACCCAATCTTTCTGGTCCGGACGAATGAGCGTACGAAGCATCATTTGAGCGGTCTGATGTGCCCGCTCCGTCTGCCCGTCTGTCTGCGGGTGTCGAGCCGAACTTGGTTTCATTGTTGTGTCGGACTCCTGCATGAGAGCAGTCCAAAACGCCGACATGAAACGTGTCGCGGTCGCTGACAATGTCTTCTGGTACACCGTGGCCACAAATCCAACCAGTGTGCAGGAGGCGTGCCAGCTCGGAAGCCGTGGAGTAGTACTTGCAAGGGAAAAAACGCGCGTACTTACTCAATCGGTCCACAACCGTGAGGATGTCGTCGTGCCCGAGCCGGTCGCGAGGAAACGGACCGGTGACGTCCATGGCAATGGAGAGACCGGGTTCCCGTGGGGTAGGCATCGGGTGTAACTCGCCGTAGCGATTGCGGTTGCGGGGCTTGCTGCGTCGGCAAACTTCGCAAGAGTCGCAATACCGAGTGACATCGGTAATGAGGTCGGGCCATCGGAATCGCTGTCAAAGCTGTGCAATAGTGCGGTTGACTCCGAAATGGCCGGCGAGTCGTGAATCATGGTACTCGCCGAGGAGGCGAGTCCGAAGACGACGGTCGCGTGGGACACATAGTAAGTCCTTGCCTCTCGAGTGGAGGAGCAAGAACCCGTCCGCAATGCGGTAATGGCTGGAGGGCGGGTGATCCGAAGATAGTTGTGCATAGAGCGTGCCTAAGTCCGGATCAGACTGATATGCCTGGATGAAGTGTCGCTGAAGCTCCTCGTTGAATGCGAAGGCATGATGTGTCATACCGCAAAGATCAGGTCTTCGCGAGACTGCATCTGCTGCGCGATTGGAGAGGCCGGGGACATGCTTTGGTGTGAAGTCAARTTGGTCGATGAAGTACATCCATCGTCCGATCGTGCTGCTCACCGTGTCCTGCGTCTTGTAGTAGGTCAATGGATTGTTGTCTGTGATCCATGTGAACCTACGACGCCCAAGGAGGAAGTGCCGCCAGCATTTGAGAGCCATCACGAATGCGAGCAGCTCCTTCTTCCTTGCATCATCAAGCGAGTTGATGGGAGGCACTTTGTGGCTGAAATACTCCACAGGGTGCCAATCGTCGCCGTCGTGCTGTTCCAAGACTGCCCCAATGCCATAGCCGGAAGCGTCCGTAGTCGCTTGCGTCGGCAGAGTGGGGTCATAGATGCTAAGGACGGGTGCCATGAGCATAGCCGTCTTAAGTGCTTGGAATGACCGGCGTGCGTCGTCATCGAATACGAATGGCACCTTTGGCGACTGTAACCTCGTCATAGGTGCAACAATCCTGGAGTATCCGGTGATGAATCGCTGATAGTAGCCCGCCAACCCCATGAATGAACGAACGTCCGTGGTGTTGGAGGGCTCGGGCCATACTCGTAGGGCCTCGATCTTGTCCGCAAGCGGACAGATGCCTTGCGGCGTCACATAGTGTCCCAAGTACTCCAGCTCCTGCTGTGCGAACTCGCACTTGTCGCGGTTTGCTTTGTACTTGGCCTGTCGTAGCCGCTCCAAAACGATGCGCAGGTGTTCCACATGCTCGTCCAGACTCCGGCTGTAAACCAGAATGTCGTCGAGGTAGATAAGTACGAAACGATCCAGCATGTGTCGGAACTCCGTCGTCATAGCCGCTTGGAAAGTGGTTGGGGCATTCGTAAGGCCAAATGGCATGACCAGCCATTCGAAATGCCCATACCGGGTCTTGAATGCGGTCTTGTACTGATCCTCCTTGCGAATCTCGAGTTGGTGGTACCCTGACTTGAGATCCAGCTCAGAGAAAAACTGGGCGCCGCCCAATCGCTCGAGAAGGTCGTCGATGCGTGGGAGAGGGCCGGCGTTCTTGATCGTCTGCGCGTTCAGCTTGCGATAATCGATGCACAACCGCAGGTCCTTGTTCTTCTTCCAGACGAAGAGAACACGAGCACCGTATGGCGATGAGCTACGCCGAATCCAGCCTTTCTCTAGAAGGTCGTCGAGTTGTGCCCGAAGCACACTTAACTCTTCCTCGCTCATTCGGTAGATGCAACCGCGCGGAGGTACGGCCCCGTCCTCGAGGATGATCTCGTGGCGGATGGGTCGATCCGGTACTACGTGCGGGCCTTAAAACACGTCGYTGTAGGCGTCGAGAAGTTCGGTGATGCGTGGATCCGAAGGTGAGTCCGTCGATGAGGCGTCATGTGGCGGGAGGGCGTGGAGAAAACACACCCCCATCTCCTCGATGTCGTCTCTGATGATGGAAAATTGCATGCTTGCGGCGGATACCACGTGGCAGCTGATCGAAGTATGAGGAAGAGGCACCGTGCATGAAACTAATACTCGTTCCGGTCACGAACGTGAACGGTGCGGTTGAAGAAGTTCACCGGGTGATCCTTGCTTCGCAGCCATGACATGCCC